CACTATGGCTAAACAGAAATGTGTCCCTTTGCAAAATCAAAAACTGTCAAATAAGAGAGCACGACACTGTATGATTTCTAGAGCTGATATAGGGCAATTGTTCAGCAGAGGGATGTAAGCATAGTTATGATTGCATCATCCATGACTTCTCGGAATAGCATGATGCAATTCATATCATGTACGATGCAATACCAGGTTCAGATTGCATAATTCATTGTTTTGCTCAAGAAGCAAGTGCTGTCCAAACCCAGTCATAGATTTATTCATAGATCCAGTCAAAGATGTATTTTAGCCATTTCTGGTTTAAATTGAGATCCCTTCTCTTTATAACTCACTTATCCGCCATTCCCAAGTCAATGATCGTGTATACTGACCCAGTAGCATAGCTTGAAAACTAGAGCCAATCAACAATTTTAAGCATAATTTTCATTCTCAGTGACCCAGAATTAGTAAAGTTTGACTACATTTATTTCGTAATCATTGTGGCTGTAGCCCCGTGTGATGCTTCCCCTATCTGGCGTTCCCCGTGAGAAACACGACGCCAATCGTGACACATCCCGTCCGTCACACGGCGATCGGTGTCTCGGCAGCAGAGTCCGGCTTGCCCGATGCAATGCTGAGGTAATAGCCTCTGTTGGACACGTGTCCTAGTTGGACAATATCACGATATAGTTTACGGTGTTTATGGGTGTCTCATCATTAACAGAAGAAAGAGTTACAGCCGATTTATGGCCGCCCTTCGGCAGAGCCAAAGCGTCGCCACGTCGCGCAGCGAGGGCTCCTCCTGCCCCCGCCTCCACCCAGGCGCATGGTAGCAACGGCGGCGATGAGGGCACCGACGAGTCCCTTGCAAGGGTCACGCCGATGATTCACAGTCGTCTCCATGGCCATCGATGACACGGCCACAGTGGTGGCGATTGAGTTGGTGCAGCCAAGGCTGGTTTGTAATCTTGCATGCAGCGTTCCGTAAATTATTTTGTTTGTCATCATGTACGGAAAGTGTTGTCATTGGGAGAGTGATCCATTGTGGGAACACGGAGCGTGATGAACCAGAGCTCGCCTGGAGGGGGCTGTGGCGGGGTGGGGGGCAATTGGGGGGGTCGGGGGAGACAAAGACGGCCGTGTAAGGTCCTGGCCACACCACTCTTCGTGTGCCCTTCGGGTCTTTACGAGGTGCTGGCTAACAGCGCTCCCCTCTGTACATAAGAATCTATGTGGATATGTGTGTAAGTCTGCGTGTGTATGCGTGTGTGGGGAGCGGTGGCGCAGTGGCTAGGGCACTACAAACCCGGCGACCCGAATTCGATTCCCGCTCAAACCTAATTTCTGAGACCGGTCCTGAACCTCCCCTAGGTCGACTCAGCCTTAAATGAGTAGCTGACGGCCGGGCGTGGTGTTGGCCACCCACCTCCTCGTCGGAGCTCGCTGACGGCACTTGCCCCGCAGTCTGTCTCGAGGCTGTACGGGCGAGCTTTGTTTTTGGGTGTGAATGTACGCGTGCGAATGCGGTAATTGCTGACGTGCGCGCCTCTGTTTGCGCGACTTCATTCCTAATCGCGCCCTTATCGACCCGAGGTAAACACTACAATGTGTAAAGACAAACTCCGCCTCAGCGATAAGCGCGTCAAAGCCAACCTTGACATGGGAACCGGCGGTGGGAGGTGAGGGGAGGGGCCCACTCCCCCAACCTCCGCACACACACAAAGACAAAGCTCCCCCGTGTAGCCTTCACAGGTTTTCGTGGTTTAGCGCTGTTATGGATCACCTATTAAGGGCGGAACGGCACACGAGGGGGTGAGTCGCCAATATCACGTCCGGCCGCCATTGTCTCACGAGTGGCGCTGTTGACACATCCCACCATGAACTCATTTGAGGCTGAGTCGATCTAGGGGAGCCCCAGGACCGGTTCAGATAATCGTCACCGGTGTTGGCCGTGAGCGGGAATCGAACCCGGGTCGCCGGGTACAATACACACACGATACACATACAATGCACACACGATACAGACAATACACACACAATACATATACGATACGCACACACGTACCCACCACTTACATACACACAGCCACGCATTAACACACACGCGGTTAAAATGCGGGTTTGCTCATACATACGTACAGACGCACACTGCACACACGTTCACACACACATTGACAAGTACAAACACACATTAACAAAAACACACGTATCAGCACACACATATTGGCACGTACACAGCCCTCGCACCTAAGTAAGCGGTGTTGTGTGTGGCGATCACGGCGCGTCCATGTGAATATTTCCCACGTGGCGATGCCCCAACCCTCGCCTCGGCCCAAGCGGCGAGAGCCTCGCCCTGGTCACCGCGCGGCTGGCGACACGAGCAGTCCGTGAGGAGTCCTGGACAGATGTTTCCAGTGAATGATGCGAGACCCTTACTCCTTGGCTCTTTCGGCAAAGTCACGTAGGTAGAAAATGAAATAGATCACGACGTTTCGGGCGCAACACAAGCCACCTGACGACGGACGCTGGTGTTGCGCCCGAAAGGTCGTGATCTATTTTATTTGATTTTCTACCTACGTGACTTTACCGAAAGAACCAAAGAGTATGGATTACTGCAGTCATGAAAGCTTCAAATCAAGATGATGTGAGACCCGTCTAAAATGGGTGTCATGTCAAGCAATTCACCCTCCTTGCTCGTCTAAATACATGGCCACGGAGAGAGCTCTGCTCTGGTGGTGCCCTCAGAGGCCCGGGGTGGTCTGAGACGCCTCAACGGGAAACGCACCGTGGCCCTGTCAGTGTTAAATCACGCTGTGGTGTCAGTCACGCTGTGTGAGTCACGCTGTGTCAGTCACGCTGTGTGAGTCACGCTGTGTCAGTCACGCTGCGGTGTCAGTCACGCTGTGTCAGTCACGCTGTGTGAGTCACGCTGTGTGAGTCACGCTGTGTCAGTCACGCTGCGGTGTCAGTCACGCTGTGTCAGTCACGCTGTGTCAGTCACGCTGTGTGAGTCACGCTGTGTCAGTCACGCTGTGTCAGTCACGCTGTGTGAGTCACGCGTGCCAGTCTCCTCCATACCGCGGTGTCAGTCACGCCGTGACTCTCTCTCTCTCTCTCTATTGCGTATCACTGGAGCCTGGGGGAATAGCAGTGTATATGTGTACACATTACTTAGCCAAGACATGGCTTCAAGTTGATGTGGAGTGGTGGATTGTTTCAGTACCACCGTTGGATTATCGGAGTTCACGCAGAGATGCATAGACTTGCATAGAGACCAATATACGCAGATCGAAATTCACATACAGTACTCGCATGGAGGGCCGTGCAGACACTATTATATTCACATATAAACCCATATAATGTCATACATGCTCATATCCTCACACAGAGTTCACGGTGGTTGACTGCTATGTGGTCGATGGTGAGGAACATTGGTTCCGTCAAATCGCAAGGCTCTGAGCTTCCTTTGATGTCTCACCCATGGAGGCGTGGGGGGGGGGGGGTCCGTGAGACCGGCGCCATTCCACAGAAGGCGCGCGATCCACGGTTGGCGAGGAGGAGGAGGAGGTGGTGGATGATCAAGGCGCGGAGGTTCGTGCCGCGTGTTCAGCTGTTCCACTCACGCTCTGCCACTCACTCGCTGCCAGTCTCACCGCGTCAGCCGCCCGCAGAGTCGCGTCTTTCTCACGGCCATGGGCGCGGTCGCGAGATCCATCAAACCCGGACGGTGAACAGTGGGTGGAGGTGGGGGGGCGATCTGGACCACCGTCTTTTGCGTAAATATCAAATCGAGTCGGTGACCTGACGCTGCCTTGCGGAATAGTCCACAGCTGCACGGCACCCCGACCGACCAGCCCCCCCCCCCCTCGTTCCATCATCAGATCCCCACCCGACCCTCGCCTCTCCGACATTTGACCCCCTTGCTATGAAATCTCCGCGTCCCCATGTCCCCCTGTCCCGTATTCCTGTGTCTCCATATTTCAATGTCCCTATGTATCCGTGTCCCCGTGTCCCCTTATCACCGATTAGGGGTCACCGGCACGCAGTGCTGGAGATGCTGCAATGGGGCAGGCCAGGGGGGGGGGCGCGGGGGGGGGGGGGCAGGGCATTATTCACGGCGCAGAGTCGCCGAGCGCAAATGGAAGCACGCGGAGAAGGAGACCACTTCCTGAATCGAGGCCACGTCCACACAGTCCGACCCACCATCACCACCACCAACATCACCACCACCAACATCACCACCACCAACATCACCACCACCATCACCAACATCACCACCATCACCACCATCACCACCACCATCACCACTATCACCATCACCAGCATCACCACCACCAACATCACCATCACCACCATCATCACCATCACCACCATCACCTTCACCACCACCAATATCACCACCACCATCACCACCACCAATATCACCATCACCACCATCACCACCATCACCACCACCAACATCACCACCACCATCACCACCATCATCACCACTAACACCACCACCACCAACATCACCACCACCATCACCACCACCAACATCACCACCATCACCACTATCACCACCACCACCCCGCACTCTATCCCACAACCATCCTGATCACCCCTACACCATTATCATCTCCCCCTTCCATACCAGTTCCCCGATCATTATTATCACCACGCCCCCCCCCCCCCCCCATTATCGTCACCCGTCTCCCACCATATCCCCCCAACATCCTCATGACCCACTCCCTGTCACTTGATTCCCCATCATCATCACGACCATTATCAATCATCATCAATCAGCATGACCCCTTTTACCGCTTTCATCCACCCATCAATAATGCATGCCGACCCTCCTCCCCCTCCTCCTCCATCCTTCTCTTCAGCACCGCCACCTGTCAACCCCCCTCCCCCCTCCAACTCCTTCGTCCACCCTTCTCAAACCCCGCACCTCTCCTACCTTCATGACCACCGCTAGAACTGAATAAAAACCTCTGCCCCCAGGTCGTCCCTGTTTAGTTCTGTAGCCCCATCTCATGGCGCACAGGCACCGTGGCCCCACGCGGGCCTCGCTCCTTCAGATGCCTCTGACGATCACGCTGCTGATGATGCTGATGCCGGCCGTGCGGGGCTCAGGGAGTGCAGGTGAGAGGCGAACAGCGACTGCGAGTGCACCTGTTCGGTCACCTGGATGATCTAATTCATACCTGCGTAATCGATATCACACCTGTGTAATCATCTTCACATCTGTGTGATCATCGTCACACCTGTATGATCATCTTCACATCTGTGTGGTCAATATCACACCGGTGTGATCAATATCACACCGGCGTGACCATTGTCACATCTGCGCGGTCATCATCCCAGCTATGCGACCAACGCCGCCTGCCCCATTGGCCTCACACCCGGGAGGCATCGCGACCGCTGGGGCGCTCGGTGCCGACTCGAACACTGCCTCCAAAGAAACGCGTTGAGATTATTGTTGTTGTTGACCTGCTTGTGCACCACCGCGGGGCGAGATGAGGCGCATGCCGGCTGATCTGGGGCCAGGCCCTTGCCAATGTCCAGCCATTCAGATAGCGCAAGAGGAGAGGCGAAGTGCTTTGAGTGTCAACACCCACACCCCTCTCTCACTCGTTCATGGAATCAGCCAAATATCCCAATGTAGCAGTAGCAGGGCCCTCGTGGAAAAAGAGTCATGAAACTCAGTAAAAGCTTTTATTTGTACACAAAAGGACATTGCTGTAATTATTAATTATCGTGCCACCGGAACAGGGACCTAGCAGAGTGGATGGCGGTGGCGCTCTTCATTCCGCGCGCTCCTGTTGACACCCTGCGTCCGTGCACGCGCGCATGAACACCGCGCATTGTGCCGTCACTCCATGCCACGTGTTCATCACCGTCTCTGCGACCCCCCCCCCCCCCCCCCCAGCGTGCACGCGCGCCGCTCTCGACCTGAACCTGGTGCTGGAGGCGAACCGCGAGACGGGCACCGTGACCCTGGAGGCCATGAAGACGTTCGCGGGAGCCGCGCTCGAGTCGCTCGCCCCCGCGGGGAACTCGTCCCGCGTGGGGCTGTGGCGCTTCGACCGCGACGCGCAGCCGCTGCTGCGCCTGGGAGACGCCGCCTCCGCCGCCAGCGCGGGCTACGTGCTGGGCCTGCTGGAGGTGGCGCGGGGCGGCCGCAACACGGGCGGCGCCCTCGACTTCATCCTGCACGCCGGGTTTCCTCCCGGGCCGGACGACGGGGTCCATCGCACCAAGGTGAGTGCGGGGAGCGCCGGGGAGGGAGGGAGGGGGCGCGCATGGGAGTGCGGGGGAGCCACGGCACACAGGGACGCACGGCCGGGTCGTCTCGTGCGCCGCGTGACCGCCCGCGTGTCTCCAGGTGCTGATGCTGATGACGACCGGACCGGCGGACGAGAGCGTGAGCGGAATCTCCGAGCTGGCGAGCCAGGCCCAGGTGCTCATCGTCACCGTGGGCATCGGGTGAGCGGCCCTCTCGACTCCCATCTCTCCTGGGGTACTCGCTCCTCCTGGACATCTATTAAAATAGCGTCATAGCTCATCAGATTTCTCCAGTCTCGATAAATATAATGATCTGATTCTGATAAAGATTCTGATTTCCCCTGTCTCTCCCTGCTGGCGACCCTTGTCTATCCGTGGTCTACTTTCTCATCTGCCACTTCATTGTGTCTCGCTGTCTCCTATCCATCCTCTCTCCACTGCCTTTCCCTGTCTCTCCGATTTTCTATATTTTCTTGTCTCTCCATTGCCTCTCCTTTCTCATCACTCTCACCTGTGTCTCCGCTAACCTTTATCGCTCTCTCCTGTATCGCCCTTGTTTGGAAGTTGGACGACGCTTAATATCCCTTCTCGCCCTGATCCCCCTTTTCGCCCTGACCCCCTTCTCCCCCCATACTCCCCCCTACTCCCCTCTGCTCCCCAGGCCCCTTGTGGACGAGGAGGAGCTGCAGGCCCTTGCCTCGCTCCCCACGTTCGCGCACCTCTACCCGCTCCAGATCAGCGCGCAAGACGCCCACGCGGTCATGGGCGGCATCTGCAGCGGTGCGTGACCCCGACCCTGACCCCCACATTGACAACTGCTCCCACATCCCATCACTCAGGTGGCCCCGCGTGCTTGCGATGATGATGACGCTGAGGGTCGTGTGCGTGCAGGCACGGGCGTGATGGGCAACTTCCTCTTGAGCCAGGAAACGAGTCAGACCATCTTCGACAACGCGGACAACGGCACAGGTGCGTGATGATGATGAGGACGTGCGATGATGACGATCCGCACCTCCGATTAGCACGGTTGGCTACATGCGGTGCGTAAGAAGTTCAATATACATAGGAGCTATGATGATGACTACGAGCGATGATGATGATGATGGTGACGAATACCAGCGATGCTGCTGCTGATGATGAATCTCGCGTGCAGAGAAGACCCAGACACCGGCGCCGCCGCCGCCCGTGCACCTTGACGGCACGTGCAGCGCGTGGGGCCTGGGCCACGTGCGCACCTTCGACGGCTTCGCGCTGCGCGCGGCGGGCGCGTGCCCCTACGTGGCGGCGCGCGAGTGCGGGGACGGCGCCTCCAGCTTCAGCGTGGAGGTGCGGCGCAGCGCGGGGCGGATCAGCTCCGTGAGCGCGCAGCTCGACGGCCTCGCGCTCTCCGTCTCCCGCGACGGGAACGTGACCGCGCGCGGGGAGAGGTACGCGGACGCCGCACCCGAGCACGCGTGCACACGCCTCGCCTGCACGCACACGCGCCTCCATGCAGCGAGCCTAGCTGAGCGTACCCGGACCCGTGTGAGCGCACCTGAATGAACTTGAACTTCCCTGAACGCATCAAAGTGCTACCGAGCACGCTGTTTAAACACGCGTGAGACATGAGAACACACAAGAAGCACACGTGAGTGCAGCTGATCAATACCGGGGCGGACTTCAGCGCCCCTACGCACCTGTTGGTGCACACGTGGCCTCCCCGCGTGGTACAGGATCTGTGCGCTGATGACGCGACTGTGTTTGTCCGTGGGGTGCGCCTCCTCTGGCGTGGCCTCTTGTGTCGGAACGTTGAGTAGCACCGCGTTCATCGCGCTCCACGTGAACTCGTGCCGCCTCCTCCCCCCCGTGTGATCACGCGTGCCGCGTGCTGAGCTGTATGAACCCGTGGGTGCTGTCTGCGTGCTGAGCTCAATGCTGCCCGCTCCCTCCCGTGTGGGCGAGCAGGGTCCGCCTGCCGTTCAGCGACACCGGCGTGCAGGTGACGCGCGTGGGCGCCTACACGACCGTGCGCATGCGCAACGTGGTGGAGCTTCGTCTCAGCGTGGACCAGTCCCTCACGGTGCCTCCCCACGCCGCTTGGCCCGCTCAGCTCCCCCCCCGTCCACTCACGCGCACAGCACCCACGCAGCATTCACATCCATATCCACCACCACCACGCGCATAGTTCACGCATACTCAGCACACCGCTCCTGCTACTTTACCCGTCATAGCATGGCAGGCGCTGTCTCGGACCTCACTCCACGTGTTGCGCCCACAGATTTCCGTGGACAAGAAGTTCAAGGGGCGCATGTGTGGCCTGTGCGGGGACTACAACCAGGACCCCATGAACTCCGAGTTCAAGGACGGTGAGCGCCGTGTTCCAAAGCTAGGAGGCTGCACTGGCAACAGCCCGGCCAGCCCAGGGGCAGAGCCTTGACCTCAGAGTCCTTAGAAGAAGGGGATGCGAAGGTGCATCGCCAGGACGCGAGTGATGACGTTGATTGGGTGGCGCAGTGCGCGATGAACCCGGCGACCCCAACTGAGGCCACAGCGATCGTCCATGGTGGTTGACATCGGGACCGGTCCTCCCGCGCCCCCTTGACACAAAAAATCCCAATTCCGTGACCGATATGAAGGTGTGTGGAGAGGCATTAAACCAGCAGTGGAATGAGAACGAGCTGAGATGCATTGTACTGATTACACGTTGTCTGAACACAGCACCTCTCATATCTTTACGAGAACACAACTCTCATTCGGTGTGAACTTCGCTAAACCCACCGCGTCCGTTCACGTCTTTGGCCACGCGGCACAGAGCTCACTGCGACGCGGGGCAATGGCTCTGCACGACCGCGTGGAGTGCAGTTGCCGGCGCGCGCCACAAGATGCCGCGATTTAATCACGAACGGCGGCGTGGACAAGCGGGCCCCGAGTACCTCGTAGAGCGCCGGCGTTGAGCCCTGGCAATTTGCGATTCGCTTACGAGGCTCAGATCATGCGCGAGTTTGCTTCGCTCTGTTGATAAACGCGACGCGACTCGGACAATGGGCGCAGCGTCGCGACTTTGGTCGCGACGATTGACGTGTGCCACTTATACCGTGCCCCGTGTCCCATGTCCCGTGTCCCGTGCACAATGTCCCGTGTCCCATGTCCCGTGTCCCATGTCCCGTGTCCCGTGCACAATGTCTCATGTCCCGTGTCCCATGCCTCGTGTCCCCCATTCTCACATCTTCTGTTCCCTGTTCCGTGCTCCCATCCATTCCCCTGACTGACGCCTGCTCCCCGTGTCCCAGACATGCGCACGGTCGCCGACTTCGTAAAGGCGCAGAAGCTCGCGGACGGCAGTGCGGTTTGCACCGAGGAGACGGCGCCTCCGGGACCCCCCGCGCTCAACTGCTCCAGACACGTGAGGAGCCGCGCTCAGCTGGCGCACCTTGAGCACGTGACCTACGCACCCCCCCCCCCCCCGGAGCGGTGCCTAGACCCCCGTGCCCCCTCTCTTATCCGCACCCCCCCCCCCGTCCCTCTCTAGGTGGACACCTGCCGCGCGTTCACGCAGCTCCCCGCCTTCTCCGGGTGCGAGGACGTCGGGGTGGACGTGCACGCGCTCGTGGTCGCGTGCACGCGGGACGTGTGCGCGTGCGTGGAGACGTGGGGGCTGCCCCCCGCGGAGTGCGCCTGCGACTCCCTGGCGGAGCTCTCGCGGCAGTGCGCGCTCGCGGGGGGCCGCCCGGGGGCGTGGAGGAACTCCCAGCTGTGCCGTGAGTGCCGCTCACCCACCCACTCACCCACCCACTCACCCACCCACTCACTTACTCACCCACCCACTCACTTACTCACCCACTCACCCACCACCCACTCACCCATTCACTCACTCACCCACTCACCCACCCACTCACTTACTCACTCACCCGGCCACTCACTCGGCCATCACTCATTCTGCAATTCTTTCAGTCATACATTCATTCACCACTCACTCATATATCACTCATCAATATCACTCATCCACCATTCACTCACCCACACATAATTCATTAAATCATTCATCGCTGATCTATCACTCACTCGCCTATCATTTACTCACTTGTGAATCACTCACTCATCGGGAAAGGGGTGATAAGGAAAGGGGTGGCGAGGGGGGGGGCTGTGAATGTCAGGAAATGAATGAAATTCGCACTCACTCATTGAGGGACGGGGTTGTAGAGATAGGGCAGTGGGGGTGCGGAGGGAAGGGGAAATAAGGGGTGGACAAGGGGCTGAGGGGGACATCTCACAGGGAAGCATCGACTGAGATGATTCCCAACCTCACGGGACACACAGCACATGCCCCGTGCGTGGTAAGGATGACTCGATGCGTATGCGTTGCGTACAATTCCTTCACTGGGTCCCCGAATCCAGCCGCTGGAAGGAGGGCGACTCAGAGGCGCCAGGAGGAGGGGTCACGATTACGAGTGGGACGACAGGAGCAGCCACGCGATGAACCGGCGCCACATTACGCCCCCGCCACCCTCTGCGATCCTCTATATATGAAGGTGTAATCGGCCAAGCAATGAGTGTTCACCCGAAGAAAACCCATGTGTGCGAGGGGGCAACACTCGATATCATACAGATGGGACAGACGGAGTCCACACTTCGCTGTACCGTCTTCTCTTCGACGCCCGCGGGAAGGGGCTTTCACAGCACGTGTGCGAGACACCACGCCCTCGCTGCTGCCTCCGCAGCGCAGCGTAGCCACCACCGAATCACCGCATCCCCGGTTGAGGAGGGGGAGGGTGGTGGGTAGACGGCTGCGCTTGGAGTGAGTTCCGATGCTCGGTGGTGGCGTGTGCGCAGTGATTTTCGTTGCCCTCCGGCCCCGCGTGGAGCTGCGCGGACTTCAGCCCCGCAGCGCTTCACGCAATGCGCCAGCAGCACCCCGCCGCCTGCCACTGTTTGCTCGGAGTCTGACCCCCGGCGGTAGCGGCGGCTCAACTCTGTTTGGGTTTTGGTGTTGAACAGTCGCGTGGCTCATTGAGATTTAGACCCACGGGGTTGGACACTCGCACGGGGTCAGCGAGAGTTAGGACCATGGCTAGATACGTCTCATGGGTCTTTTAGGATTTAGAGGCAGCGTTATGTGCACACTTTGCGCGTGGTGTCAAACGACATCATAAACGTAGCTACCGGGGTCATTTTACTGGGCGCGTTTATGCAAACACAGCACAGCCATAAACCCCACGGAACGCAGAGAACATTGCCTCTCGAACCCCCCCCCCCCCCGTCACCCTCCGTGCACTCTGTCTCCTTCGCTCCGAGACCTTGACGCTGACCTCGACCCTTGCCTCGACGTCAGCTCCGGCTCAACGTCGTAATGATCGCCGCTGGGGGTAGGGGGGGCACGCTGGACAGCCCGTGTGCTTACGTAACCCCGTGACCTCCTCGTGCCGAGTGTCCTTGTGAGGAGTTGTCGTAGCCGGTCTTTGCACTTCACCCGACTTCCTCTCACTCACTTCGTTTCTTCACACACTCAAGTGAGTCAGAGCAGCCGACTGCGTACACCATTGCAGCAATACAGGATCATAAACAACACACACACACATACACATATAGGGGAAAGGTGGTAAGGGATGCAACACATTGCCAAAGGGCGAGAGAGGTAAAGGGGAGGGAGGAGGTCACAGAGTGCTGCTCTATACAAGCAAATGCAATCATCAATGGGTGTAGCCGTAATCAAGAAATGGAGATGAATAACAATCAAAATAAAGCATCATGACTACAAAGTGTTGGTCCCCTCGTAGAGAAGACGCCTTACGTGGTAATGCACGTGATGACGCTGCCGCGAGCGCGCGTGATAAGAAGTTCTTTCATTTGTTTTTGGAGGAGGGAAGGGGGTCAATGTGTGTAGAACGTGACGATGGTGAGATAAGATTCGGCCGAGGAGGGGTGAGTCGGCGGCTCTGCAGGGCTCCTCCCAGAGTGGCCGTGCTGCGGCGCAGACCTGACTCGCGCCGATCGCGCGCAGCCGCCTTGGTGAGTCGCCACCATCCCGCAGAGCCGCAGCTCTTCTTGGCCATAGCGGCGGAGGCGACAACAGCATACATGCAGCTTTGCGGCATTCCATGCGCTCGTAATATGCGTAAGGCATACAAAGTACGAGCACACGACGCAACTATAGAGGCAATGTGGGAGGGGCATTGAAGAGTTACTGGTGATGACCACTCACAACATGTTCATCATCGCCTCTCGCTGGATACATTGAAGGGGAGGTGGATCAGGGATCGTGGTTGATGCTGCGGCTGCCGTGTCTACTCTTTGGCCTGAAGCTCAGTTCTGTGGACTTTTCTTGATTGAGCGCAAGGTTATGTGGTCGATCTCAAAAGTCTCAGTCGCAAACTTGGTGCAATGAGAACGGTTATTGAGAAATTAGACTGTCTAATTATAGATTAAAGTTTCCCAAGTAAACTAACGGACAGTCTCAAAGGCTTCGCTGAAGTCCAGGGAGATGACAAGAACGTACTTGTTTGTGGTGAGCATGCCAGCAACGAGCTTTCTTTTATCTGCAAATATCGCTCTCAATAAAGTAGGCAGCAGTGCACATTGCAAAGGATGGGGATGGTACAGGGGGCATAGAACAACTAGAATGAAAAAATCCCGCCACGATCTCAGCAGCGAACACCGATTGAACAAAATAAACTGGCAATGGCCATTTTCCGAGCTCTGAGCTCGACATCACTCAGATGCTGAGGTTCCTAAACGGGTTTCACGCCCAGTGAGTCGACGGTCTCAGTGCGGTCCACACCGAGCGAGTCACGGAGCCAACCGATTAGCACGGTTGGCTAAGTGCGGTGCAAAAGAAGTTTAACATACAAAGAGGAGATACAGAGATACGTGCCACGTCCCGAAACGACACGTGGCGCCAGCAGGATCTGGAGCTAACGACAGTGGAAGAGAAGAACTACTCTCCACTCAAAAAACACTCCACACAAGAAACACTCTCCACTCAAAAAACACTCCACACAAGAAACACTCTCCACTAAAAAACAATCCAAACAAGAAACGCTCTCCACTCAAAAAAACACTCCACCCAATAAACACTCTCTACTCAAAAAAACACCGCACACAAGAAACACTCTCCACGAGGCAATTATTTCCAGGGGTCCATGGCCCGACTTTGATGATGACCGTGTATCTCCCTGTCTCCCGTTGTGTCCCCAATGTGTCCCCCATCTCCCCGTGTTTCCTCGTCTCCCTGCGTCGTCTCCCCGCGTCGTGTCCCCACGCAGCCGCCTCGTGTCCCGACGCGATGCAGCACTCGGAGTGCGGCACCAGCTGCCTGGACACGTGCTCCAACCCCACGGCCAGCGCCCTGTGCGAGGATGCCTGCCTCGACGGCTGCTTCTGCCCCCCTGGTACCCGAACTCACCTGCCCCGCTCACCTACCACACTCACCTGCCCTACCCACCTGCCACACTCACCTGCCTCACCTACCTGTCCCACTTATCTGCCACATTCACTTGCCCGACCCACCTAAACACACAGATGCTCATTATCACTCAGCATCACACACTTCAAACTCAACATCTCACACGCTCGACAAGACACCCCATCTTAATCATCATCGACATGCCAATTATTTATCCAGGAAAACCTGAGTATCAAGACATTTTCAGGAGGATCCTGCAGTGAGATGTTTGTCCAATTTCACTTAAGGGGTAACACTGAGCCTAACGTTCAAGCTATGTTTCGAACGATGCCTCCATCTCCAGGCCACGGCGTAGCCCTAGCCTATAACACCTCGTACTGCATTCCTAGTCTCTCAGAAGCCAAGCACCATGCTCTCAGGATTAATTGTTCATAGCCAATCTCCGATTGATAGAATGAGGTTTATTTCGGCACGATACACGTGAAACAGGAAGCATATCGCCCATTCTCCTGCCCCCCACCCACCTTGCAACCCCCCCACCGTCTCTTCCCCTGCCCCCTCCCCCAGGCACGGTGATGGATGATGTGGACGAGGCGCAGGGCGGGCGCTGCGTGCCGGTGGAGCAGTGCTCCTGCGTGTTCGACGGCAGGCAGTACCCCCCCGGCGGGGTGCTGGGGACCCCCTGCAGTAAATGGTACCAGCCCCTTGCCCTTGTCGTAACCACCTTGCAGTCGGGATAGGACCCCCCCCCCCCTCCTCCTCCATGTGCCTATCCCCTCTCTCTCTGCTGCGGGTTGGGGACCCGCGCGGCGCGGGCTCAGCCTGTGCCCTGGAGCACCGCGGAGCTCCGACTCCACCTCGCTTGGCCGCACCGCCTCCTCCCTGAGGCGTGGTGGGGGGGGTGGCCAGGGTGAGGAGCTACTCCGAGTGTGCCGCTCTCACCGTGGGTGTGCTGCTCTAACCCGTGCCCCCCCCCCCCCGTGTGACACAGCGAGTGCATAGGGGGCCAGTGGAACTGCTCGAGTCTGCCGTGCCCGGGGATGTGCAAGCTGGAGGGCGGCTCCCACTTCACCACCTTCGACCACCGCACCTACACCTTCCACGGGAACTGCCTCTACACCCTCTCGCAGGTGAGCGCGCTGCCCAGGGGACCAGCTGTGGGTGGTGACGAGGTGTGGGTGGAGACGAGGTGTGGGTGGAGACGAGGTGTGGGTGGTGACGAGGTGTGGGTGATGACGAGGTGTGGGTGGAGACGAGGTGTGGGTGGTGACGAGGTGGGGGTGGTGACGAGGTGGGGGTGGTGACGAGGTGTGGGTGATGACGAGGTGTGGGTGGAGACGAGGTGTGGGTGGTGACGAGGTGGGGGTGGTGACGAGGTGGGGGTGGTGACGAGGTGTGGGTGATGACGAGGTGTGGGTGGAGACGAGGTGTGGGTGGTGACGAGGTGGGGGTGGTGACGAGGTGGGGGTGGTGACGAGGTGTGGGTGATGACGAGGTGTGGGTGGAGACGAGGTGTGGGTGGTGACGAGGTGGGGGTGGTGACGAGGTGTGGGTGGTGACGAGGTGTGGGTGGTGACGAGGTGGGGGGTGGTGACGAGGTGTGGGTGGTGATGAGGTGTGGGTGGTGATGAGGTGTGGGTGGTAAGGTGGTAACTCTGTGCCGGGTTCCACATCTCCGAGTCACATTCAAGCTTTTGTTCGTTTGTGGAATCGCGTGCACTGCAGGTCAGATCTCTGTGCAGACTGTCACGATCAACACCATGCATGACTCAGAATTAGTCTATTTTTGGTGAGATCATTGTGTAGGTAAGATGCAAACGCTACTTATCCCAAATTTCGGTTGCTTTTTAACATTCCCCAACTTTATTTATTGCCGAGCAATAAATAAAGTTGGCACCGTGGCCCATAATAGAGGGTTTGTTTGGGTTAGTTCGGGTAAATATAGATGTGTCGTTAACCCACCACCACCCGACACAGCCAATGAGTAAGGTTTGTCACGTAAACAAAAGTGCCAATTAATTACTACTTCAGCACACCGGTGTATTGGAGGCATTTCTATTTACGCGATCTAACCCAAGCAATACATGTAATATGAATGATAGGGGTCACGGCAGCCTTCGTGTTAAACCGGCATTCTCCCATGACGCAACAACTTGATTTGATCACCATGATGGAGACGAAGGCGGCCGGGCGTGGTACTGGCCACCCACCCACCTCGTGTGCCGTGTCAGTGTTAATAGGTGCTCGCCAACAGCGCTGGCCTCAAGAGTATGTCGAAGGCCACACGGGGGATCTTTGTCTTTGCATCAGGACTGCGCAGGACGTGTGTGTACCGTGTGTGTACCGTGCGTGTACCGTGCGTGTACTGTGTGTGTATACCGTGCATGTACCGTGCGTGTACCGTGCGTGTACCGTGCGTGTACCGTGCGTGTACCGTGTGTGTACTGTGTGTGTACCACTGTGCTTGTGTGTATCATGTGTGCGTGTATCATGTATCGTGAATGTGTGTATCATGTGTGCGTGTATCATGTATCGTGCATGTGTGTATCATGTGTGTGTGTATGTATCATGTATCCTGCCTGTGTATCATGTGCGTGTGTATCGTGTGTGTGTCCTGTGCGTGTGTGTATCCTGCGTGTGTGTGTGTACCGTGCGTGTACCGTGTGTGTGTATGCCACCGTGCTTGTGCATCAGGACTGCGCAAGACGCGAGTTCACGATCCTCGCCGAGCTGCGGCCGTGCTCCTCCACGAGCCGCGCCACGTGCCTCACCTCCGTGTCGCTGCTGCTGGCGCACGGCGGCGAGGTGAGCATCCTCACCACTCACCAACATCACCCACCACTCACCTCGCCCTACTCACCAACATCACCCACCACTCACCTCGCCCTACTCACCAACATCACCCACCACTCACCTCGCCCTACTCACCAACATCACCCACCACTCACCTCGCCCTACTCACCAACATCACCCACTACTCACCTCGCCCTACTCACCAACATCACCCACCACTCACCTCGCTCTGCTCACCAACATCACCCACCACTCACCTCGCCCAACTCACCAACATCACCCACCACTCACCTCGCCCTACTCACCAACATCACCCACCACTCACCAACATCACCCACTACTCACCTCGCCCTGCTCACCAACATCACCCACCACTCACCTCGCCCTACTCACCAACATCACCCACCACTCACCTCGCCCTACTCACCAACATCACCCACCACTCACCTCGCCCTACTCACCAACATCACCCACCACTCACCTCGCCCTACTCACCAACATCACCCACCACTCACCTCGCCCTACTCACCAACATCACCCACCACTCACCTCGCTCTGCTCACCAACATCACCCACCACTCACCTCGCCCTACTCACCAACATCACCCACCACTCACCTCGCCCTACTCACCAACATCACCCACCACTCACCAACATCACCCACTACTCACCTCGCCCTGCTCATCAACATCACCCACCACTCACCTCGCTCTACTCACCAACATCACCCACCACTCACCTCGCCCTGCTCACCAACATCACCCACCACTCACCTCGCTCTACTCACCAACATCACCCACCACTCACCTCGCCCTACTCACCAACATCACCCACTACTCACCTCGCCCTGCTCCCCAACATCACCCACCACTCACCTCGCTCTACTCACCAACATCACCCATCACTCACCTCGCCCTACTCACCAACATCACCCACCACTCACCTCGCCCTGCTCACCAACATCACCCACCACTCACCTCGCTCTACTCACCAACATCACCCACCACTCACCTCACCCTACTCACCAACATCACCCACCACTCACCTCGCCCTACTCACCAACATCACTCACCACTCACCTCACTCTACTCACCAACATCACCCACCACTCACCTCGCTCTACTCACCAACATCACCCACCACTCACCTCGCCCTACTCACCAACATCACTCACCACTCACCTCGCTCTACTCACCAACATCACCCACCACTCACCTCGCTCTACTCACCAACATCACCCACCACTCACCTCGCCCTGCTCACCAACATCACCCACCACTCACCTCGCCCTACTCACCAACATCACTCACCACTCACCTCGCCCTATTCACCAACATCACCCACCACTCACCTCGCTCTACTCACCAACATCACCCACCACTCACCTCGCCCTATTCACCAACATCACCCATCACTCACCTCGCCCTGCTCACCAACATCACCCACCACTCACCTCGCTCTCCTCACCAACTTCACCCACCACTCACCTCGCCCTACTCACCAACATCACCCACCACTCACCTCGCTCTCCTCACCAACTTCACCCACCACTCACCTCGCCCTACTCACCAACATCACCCACCACTCACCTCGCCCTACTCACCAACATCACCCACCACTCACCTCGCTCTACTCACCAACATCACCCACCACTCACCTCGCCCTACTCACCAACATCACCCACCACTCACCTCGATCTACTCACCAACATCACCCACCACTCACCTCCTCACCTCCGTGTCCCTGAAGCTGGCGCACGGCGGTGAGGTGAGCATCCTCACCACTCACTTCGCTCGTAGATGACCCGTTGCTATCTTCTCCTCGTCCGTGTTGATCTCCGTCTATGCTCGTGGCCGTAATCCGCGCTCGTGAAATCGCGCGCGTTCAACTCCGCAGGCAGTGCGAGACGCGGAGCTGTCCCAGGTGCTGAAAATGTCCCCGCTCTGTCCATCGCGACCGAGCGGGGACGACAACGCGGCTCCTTTGAACTCAAACAACTTCCAGGCGGCGCCGTTCTCGCGCTCGACTAAATCCGACTCTGCTCTGCTAGTTACGCGATAGTTACACGCTAGTTACGCGATAGTTACGCGATAGTTAACAGCGCTGCCGTGGCTCGGGAGGAAGACTACAAAGCTGCGTGTCGCGTTCCATCCAGGTCATCAAATTCGAGGCAGACGGACGCGTCATCATGAACGAGATGCTCGCAAAGCTGCCCTACAGCAACAGCGGTTCGGCCCGCAACAACACACACACACCCCGTACAACACACACACACACCCTGTACAACACACACACACCCTGTACAACACACACACACCCTGTACAACACACACACACACACACCCTGTACAACACACACACACCCTGTACAACACACACCCTGTACAACACACACACACCCTGTAAAACACACACACCACAAACACACACACACCCCGTACAACACACACACACCCCAGCACACTACACACCCCGTACAACACACACACACCACAAACACACACACACCACAAACACACACACATACACCCCGTACAACACACACACCCAGCACACTACACACCCCGTACAACACACACACCCCGTACAACACGCACACACCACAAACACACACACACCGCACACCACACACACACCACAAACACCCCGCACACCACACACACACTCCATACAACACACACACCACAAACACACACACACACCACACACCACAAACACCCCGCACACCACACACACCCCACACATCACATGCTACATACCACGATTTTCGTGAGAGTGCTGCTATTAACACCGCCACGCAAATAAAACAAGCCGCCGCGCGTCTGTGACGCCAATAATTAACGCGCGTCCTCCCCCCCCCCCCCCCCCCCCCCGTGTGCGCAGCCGGCCTGCAGGTGTTCCGCCAGTCGTCCATGTTCGTGCAGGTGGCCACCCGCTCCGGCCTGCACCTCCAAGTGCAGCTGCAGCCCCAGATGCAGCTCTACGTGAGCGTGTCCGTCGCCTACAAGAACCGCACCTGTGGTGAGGGCCGCGGGGGTGGGTGCAGAGTGAGGGGGTAGGCTAACGAGGGATACAGGGTGGATGGAAGGAGTGGGATTGACTGGATGTGAAGGTGTGGCGCTTTGCGGGGTCCCAGGGCCTGGCGTGCATTAAACTGGAGTTTGGGGGTTATGGCCAACCTACTGCAGCCCAGGGTTCCGGAGTTGTCAATGGTGTCGAGGGTCTGTGATCTGGGGTACAGAGTTCTAGGGTCTAGGATTTTGGGTAACTCGGGTATATAGAGTTTGAAGGTTTATCTGGGGTCCAGAATCCCAGTGTCCGGGATCTGGGATCGGGGCTCCTGGGGGGTGCCACGGTCTCTGCGCTGGGCTCGCGGTACCGTCGTGACGCGCTGCCACCGCGCCGCGCCAGGACTCTGCGGGAACTACAACGACGTGCTGGCGGACGAGCTGAAGACGTCGTGCGGCCTCGTGGAGGCCACCTCCACCCCCTTCGCCAACTCGTGGAAGGCGCAGACGGGCTGCCCCGACACGGCCGAGGAGCTGCAGGACCCGTGCTCCATCAACGCGCACACCGGTGGGTCCCTCGCACCCCCCCCCCACTCCGCCCTCCAACGCCGAGTCGGCCATCGGGGTTGGTTGTGAGACCATACTGCGCTACCACGCCGGATAGTGGCGGGTCGCTACAGCGGGTGGCCCAGGACAAGGTTCAGCTGTCGCTCGCCACTAATCCGATAGCCGTGACCGGGAATTGAACTCCAGCCATTAGGTTCAGAGCGCGCTAACCACTGCGCTACTCATTATATCCCAGAATGCCGTGTGTTCGGGGACAATTATCATCGTTGTGATCAGTGTCCACGGAATCACGCTCTTGGTAAGATAAGTTACGAGCAACGATGCGCTTGACGATGATGTTCTCAGCATCTAAAAACAACGCTGTAGCCAGCAGTTGCGTGCCCAAGACATCACTGGGCTGTGCCTTTATTACAAATACAACCGCATCTCAAGGCGATATCGCACCGTGACATGCACTAAGATAGGCGGTTCTATGTGTGCATGAATATAGCATATATAGTGTGTGTATGCGCTATACACACAGTATATATAATAAAACATATTATAGAGAGGAGATGGACGTTGATGATGATATGTTATGTAAACATTATAGAGCACGTCGGCCTTGGCGACTAATATTATACATCCTAATAAAGGTTTTTTGGACAGCTTTTTTGGTTGTTTACGAGACAAACCTTACTAATCAGCCGTGTTAGGTGGTGGCGGGTTTGACGACATTACATGGGGCACGAAATATCGATGTAATGACCCAGAATGGAGGGGGGTAGGGAAAGAGACGAGCCAGGAGAGCCATGGAGATCGTTCCGGTGAGGGGGGGGGGGGTCCAGGCGGGATGTGTGTGGGGGGGGGGGGTCCAGGCGGGATGTGTGTGGGGGGGGGGGTCCAGGCGGGATGTGTGTGGGGGGGGGGGGTCTAGGCGGGATGTGTGTGGGGGGGGGGGTCCAGGCGGGATGTGTGTGGGGGGGGGGGGGGTCCAGGCGGGATGTGTGTGGGGGGGGTGATGAGACTCGTGGGTGAGGAGGACAAGGAGGGTGACAAGGCTCGGGACGAAAGAGGACCGCGAGCAAGAGAGGTATCTGTATTTTCGTTATGTTATTGATCAAAGTTAGTTGGGGTTGTTACAGGCGGCCGTGTCTGTCATTGAGTATTGAATCGAGTGAGAAGTTGGACGACCGTCTGTGATCGGTGAAAATGTTCCCGCGATATTCCCGACGAGCAAGACGGCTGATTACAGCTTAAAGGTCGTGGGAATTAGACTCCCTCCATTTCAAGATTGTGACCCCAATTCGGCAGTGACGCCCACAGCGAGCTAGTGCCACGCTACCTCGTGTGACGTCATCGGCGCTGGGCGTGGCCATGCGCTGCCACGCCCCGCGTGTGACGTCATCGGCGCTGGGCGTGGCCATGCGCTGCCACGCCCCTCGTGTGACGTCATCGGCGCTAGGCGTGGCCATGCGCTGCCACGCCCCGCGTGCGATGGGAGGGCGCGAGGCGACGCGGTATTTGGACTTCATTGCGCTCGTGTCTGGGTAGAAAGATACAATTTGGTACATGGGTAGTTTTAGGACACAAACCCACATAAAACATCAGAAAAATCAGAGATTTTTCATTACAAGGCCCCCAAATCTCAATTTTTAATGCCGTTCCAAATATTAGATTGCGTTAGATTGTTTGATAGAGCGTTAACCCGCAAATAAAATTAAAGCGAGAATCAGTGTTTTATCTTTTATTGTTTTTGACATTTTCGTATTAAAGCAGTTTTAAACAAAAAAAATACGCATTTTATGTTCAGATCTGAATAATTCGAAAACGGTCAAATATTGGAGGTTCCCTCATAGCCTATTAAGTTAATACATTTTTGTTCTTTCTAATACAAAAAAGGGAATCTTTACATTCAGCAGTTTCCGATGGTTACATCTTTAAATGTAAGAAGTCGAATCAAATCGTTAACAATTTTTGTTTGCAGAAATATACACGTGTTTGGAGCAGTTGTTAGTGTATGATCGTAGATAAAAAAATAGTAAAAATGATATCCGGTTAATTATTATATTTATTTAAAACGTTTGCCTCGCTTTATGAACCAGACTGGACCCTTTCTCATTAATCTGGAAGTGCAACATATAAACGCTGTCGAGGTGTGCATGTTTACAGTGTCCAGATCTGTAATCACCACCTCCCCCCCGTGCCCCCCCCCAGCCCAGTACGCCGAGGAGACCTGCTCCAAGCTCATGGACCCCCAGGGCCCCTTTGCCAAGTGCCATGGGGTGGTCAACCCCAACCATTTCTACAAGGTGAGTACCCCCCATCACTACCCATCACCCCTCCCATACCCCGTCCACGCGGGGCTCAAGGAACGCGGAGCGGTGACACGGCACCACTAACGCTCCGTGCATGTGTGCGTGTGTGTGCGTGTGTACACATGGCCTGGCACAAGCGTCGTGGTGACGTCACCGCTACTTAGTGGCGAATGGCGGTTGTTGTTGCGTGTGTACATGTGTGTGCGTGTGTACATGTGTGTGCCTGTGTACATGTGTGTGCCTGTGTACATGTGTGTGCCTGTGTACATGTGTGTGCCTGTGTACATGTGTGTGCCTGTGTACATGTGTGTGCCTGTGTACATGTGTGTGCGTGTGTACATGTGCGTGCGTGTGTACATGTGCGTGCGTGCGTGCGTGTACCACCTCCCACAGACGTGCCGGCACGACACGTGCGAGTGCGAGAGCCCGGAGCGCTGCGTGTGCGCCGCGCTGGGCGCGTACGCACACGAGTGCGCGGCGCGCGGACACGTGCTCATCGGGTGGAGGGGGAAGGCGGGCGTGTGCAGTGAGTGTGCACCACGCTCACACCTGTACACACACGCACCGAGACAAAGATCCCCCGCATTGCCTTAACAGACTGCTGGGAGCAACACCTGTTAGCGAGCAGCTACGTAGGCCGGCACGGCACACGACGAGGGGCGGGTGGCCAGCACCACGGCCGGGCCGCCTTCGTCTCCCCGGCACAGGCCTCCCCACCTTCGCCGTGCGTTCACACGTGCCCCCACGCCCCCCTCCGCCTCAGCCGAGGCGACGCAGCAGTGCGGCGAGGGAGAGGAGTTCCAGTACGGCGCCTACGCCTGCAACGGCACGTGCACGTCGCTGTCGCAGTTCGACGCCTCGTGCCTGGTGACGGACACGCCCGTGGAGGGTTGCGCGTGCGACGGCTACCGCACGCAGGAGGGCACCTGCGTGGACGGGCCCTCGCTCTGCCCCTGCTACATCAACGGCCAGGCCATCGCTCCGGGCATGACCATCACGCGCAACGGCGCGCAGTGGTGAGTGTGAGGGAGTGCGGCAGTCTGAGTCGATGGGGGTTCGCCTCTGAGTGCTGGAAAAATCACCTCCCTCTGGCAAGGATGAGGCTATCCATATGATACATTAATGGACCCTGAAGGGATGATGGGCGACAATGTGATACTATTTTTATCGACCCCAAAACAATGATGGACTCGGTTAATCCCCAACAAGAATTAAAATAGGGTCGTCATGCGTTAAGGTGGTGATGCTACCATATCTCGTACAATACGAGGTGCGCGTTAAAGTACACAAACCCACTTGTATTGCAATCTCCTCTTTGCGGGGCTAGTCCAGCAACGTCCCCTGGGTGCTGAGGGGCTGTTATTCCACACGCACGTCCCGGCTCCACATTTATGCTCACAACCTTCACAACATGCTCGGGACCCCCCCCCCCCACCTCCGACCTGCTGAGCCCCCACAGTGGACATCGCCGCGCGCCGAGTCGGCCCCCGTAAACACGTGCGTGTGTGCGCCCACAGCCTGTGTCGCCGTGGGGTCATCCAGTGCAAGGCCAACCTCGTGGCAGGTGGGTGAGGGACAGGCACGGGATGGTGGTGGTAATGGTGGTGGTCTTTGATGATGGTCATGATGATGATGGTGGTGGTGTTCATGATCAATTCAATGTACAACTGCACAAGACTTTTACAGAGATAGGTTTCGCATTTGTTCATATGGGTGTGTGTGTCCCTGTGAGTGTTTGTCTCTGTGTATATATGCATGCTAGTGTAATGACAGGGTGACACCTGCCGGCCTGTAAGGGCAATTACGGTTTTGGCTGCATTACATAATGCCTTATTATAAGGGGGCCGTATCTGGGGTAAAGATGAAGGGCGGAGTCAGTCGAGAAGTTCCGGGATCCAGCCCGAAGGTTCTGGAAAGGGGACGTGGCCAGAGGTGGAGCTTGGCAGCGCCGGGACAGATATAAGGGGGACCGAGCCAAAGGTTCGGGGCTGTTCTGCGGGTCCTGGCTGCGTCGCTGCTCGTCGTCATCTCTCCGTCTTCGACCACGTGGCTGTTCTGCTGCGAGACCGTCGTCCCCGTCGCCGCCGCTACGCGAGTCGAACAGCTCGCGTGATGCACGACGGAGATGGGCTGCGTGTTAGAATCGCCCATGTGTGGCTGCGTTACGAAGTGGATCGCCCCGTGCGCTCTTAATAAATACGAAGCCTTTGACTCGACGTGTCTCGGAAGTCACTCGCTACACATGTTGTAGGGAGCGTTCATGCAGCAGTTAGCGTGGTACATTACGAACCCAGTGATCCGAGTTCGATTCCCGCTCACGGCCAACATTGGTGACGAGTATCTAAACCGGTCCTGGAACTCCCCTAGGTCGACTTGGCGTTAAATAATTACCTCGTGTGGTGTGCAAAAGATGTAAGCATTGGGCCGGGCGTAGTGCTGGCTACCCACTCCTTCGTGTGCCATGCTATCCTCAGTAGGTGCTTACTAACAGAACTTCTTTGTCTGTGTGTGTGCAGAGTGCCTCCCCCCACGGGTGTTCGTCGACTGCCAGGCTGCCCTGCCTGGGGTGCAGGGGCTGGCGTGCGAGCGGACGTGCCAAAACCCCGACATGGAATGTGTGAGAGGAACACGGCCAGCCACTCACCATCCACACCACGACTACAATGTCACAACCACACTCTGGCAACAATAGCACAACCACAATATCGGCACCACGTCTTCTTGACAGAGGTGTTGAAGCCATGGCTGTACGTGCATGTACACTTGTGTGTATGTGTATACGTGTATGTCTATGCACGCACATACACGTGTGTGCGTGTTTGTGCAAGTGGGGAGGGATGCTCTAGTAGTTAGCACACTGCAACTCGAGTTAAATTCCCACTCAAGACCAATAACAGTGACGAATATTTGAACTGATCCTGGGCCTCACCTAGGCCAACTCAGCCTTAAATGAGCACTTGGTGGAGCGTATAAACATCAGCCAAGGTAGCCGGGCATAGTGCTGGCCAGACCACCCCGTTGTGGGCCGTACGCCTTCGTAGATGATCGCTAACACCACTTGCCCCAACGGTCTGTTAATGGAATCTTTGTGTTTGTGTGCAGTACACGCCCGGCTGCGTGTCGGGCTGCATGTGCCCCGAGGGCACTGTGCTGGACAGCGCCGATGGATGCGTGCGCCCTGACCAGTGCCCGTGCCAGCACAACGGCCAGAGCTACAGCCCGGGCGACAGAGTGGCTGTCGACTGCAACACGTGGTGAGCGGCCGGTCCACACCGCAGCAACAACCAGAGGCGCCCAAGAGACTGGAGATGGCTTTCTCGGGGAGTCACGGTCACATTAATAGGCCGGTATTCATCGGTTGTATGAGAGGGGGCCAATAGTGTTTGTCCCTTTTGTTTTGGTGCCTTTTCTTTATTTGTTTATTTATTAAAATTTTAGTTATGTTCATTCTCTTGGCAATTGCTATAAAAATAGATTTTGCCCTCATATATATTATAATGTACAGCTTTGTGAGATGCATTAGCATGAATGATCCTATATGAAATAAAAACCAGGGAGAGAAGCTTGGTAAGAATGGTGCGCTAAGCTGGTGACTCCGGAAGTACATTTATAAGGGGATCACACAATGCCTGGTCAACGAGAGAAAGGTAATCTGCACAGCCGCCCTCACGGCGACGTTGCTACCCACTTGTAAAGCCGACGGGCGCCCTGTGGCTCGCTGCTTGAGCCACAGGGCGCCTGTGCACAGTCGTCCTCGTGGCTCAGCAGCGCATGGCTGAAGCCGTCCGTCCGCTCGCGTGCAGCACGTGCGAGGGCGCTCGCTGGAGCTGCACGGACGACGACTGCATGGGGCTGTGCTCCTTCTACGGGGACGGACACTACACCACATACGATGGGCGGCGCTTCCTGTTCGACGGGAAGTGCGAGTACATCCTCTCGCAGGTGAGGCCCCCCCCCCGCTCCCCCTGGCCGCCCCCTCCCCCTGGCCGCCCCCTCCCCTGGCCGCTCGCCCCCCTCTTGCTCTGTGCTCGTGACGCTGTGCGGCGAGCTACGCGCCACGGGGTCGTGCCGGTTTCTGCCTCCCGCAGGACTTCTGTCCGTCCAACCCTGCGGGCGGAAGCTTCCGCGTCATCACAGAGAACATGGCGTGCGGAACCTCGGGCGTCGCCTGCTCCAAGAGCATCAAACTCCTGCTCGGGGTGGAGCACCTCACCACCACCACTCACCACCACCACTCACCACCACCACTCACCACCACCACTCACCACCACCACCACTCACCACCACCACTCACCACCACCACCACTCACCACCACTCACCACCACCACACACCACCACCACTCACCACCACCACTCACCACCACCACCACTCACCACCACCACACACCACCACCACTCACCACCACCACTCACCACCACTCACCACCACCACTCACCACCACCACTCACCACCACCACTCACCACTACCACCACTCACCACCACTCACCACCACCACACACCGCCACCACTCACCACCACCACTCACCACTCACCATCACCACTCACCACCACCACCACACTCACCACCACCACTCACCACCACCACTCCACCACCACCACCACACTCACCACCACCACTCACACCACCACCACCACTCACCACCACCACCACTCACCACCACCACCACCTCCTCACCACCACCACTCACCACCACTCACCACCACCACTCACCACCACCACTCACCACCACCACTCACCACCACCACTCACCACCACTCACCACTCACCACACTCACCACCACCACTCACTCACCACCACCACTCACCACCACCATCCACCACTCACCAACCACCACCACTCACCCACCACACCCACCACCACTCACCACCACCACTCACCACTCACCACCACCACTCACCACTCACCACCACCACTCACCACTCACCACCACCACTCACCACCACCACCACTCACCACACCACCACTCACCACCACCACTCACCACCACCACTCACCACCACCACCACCACTCACCACCACCACTCACCACTCCCACCACTACTCACCACCACTCACCACCACCACTCACCACCACCACCACCACTCACCACCACTCACCACCACCACACACCACTCACCACCACTCACCACCACTCACCACCACCACTCACCACCACTCACCACCACCACTCACCACTCACCACCACTCACCACCACTCGCCTGCGCCCACCACCACTCTCCACTACTCCTCTGTGCCCACCACCACTTACCACCACTCACTTGAGCTCCTATATTCATCTGCATTCACCTCACCTCGACTCGTCTCCTACACTCACATCCACTCGCCTGAAATCATCTACAGTAGTCACCTGCACTTCCCTAGGCTCACCTCAGAATCGGAATCTCGATTTATACTGCAGAAATCCGATGCGCCATAAAAGTATTGTTCACAGATGTCCAGTAGGGAGAGGTCAAAAGGTTACAACAAACAATGTAAAACATGATAGGGGTGCAAAGTAAAGGAAAGCAAATCACAAAAAAAATTTGAAAAATAAAAACCATTTAATTTACCAGGTAAAGCCCACTCAGCTCATGGCTTCTTGTTCAGAAGGGACCTGGCCATAAAGGATAGCTCAACGAAGTGGCTTCGGGGCCGTCCATAAATGACGTCACGCGATTTTGGACGATTTTTGACCCCCCCCCCCCTCGTCACACCGCGTAACAAAAAGTCAGACCCCCCTCAAATATGACGTCACAAAGCTCTGCCCCCCCCCAAACCATATTTCCATTTTGAAAATAAAACACGCTTCAAATCGCTTTAAACTATTGTCATTGTAGTGCGTATTTAATGTGGCGCTGCACTCTGATGTTGTAGGAGAAAACATTTATTAAAAAGGAGGCGTTGGAAAACTTGCATTTAGCATAAAATTCACTTGAAAATATTCAACGTTTAACTAAAACTGCAGATGTTCAGAATATTATATTAAAATTCTCTTATAATTATCATATATTAAAAGTAATTTTAACTATTTAAAAAATACTTGAAACTTTGTAGTAGAATGAAGCAAAATGGAGAGTACAATTATAACAATCATATATTCATTCCACAGAATGAAAAGCCCTGGTAGAATCATTAAAATCAAATGTTTAATAACAATCATTAAAAAAATGTTCAAAATGTATGCTTCTCCATTCTCCCATGGAGAAGCAAAATGCTCCTTTATGGAATAAATAAATAATAATCAAATCGTTAATAATGAAAATAAAAAAAATTACTTATTTAAAGTTGCGCATTTTGATGTGATGTAACATTTCTCAACCCCCCCTCTCCCCTCGTCACACATCGTCACAAATGTCTAACCCCCCCCCCCTCCCAGGTGCGTCACGTCATTTATGGACGGCCCCTTATCATGTGGAAATTTATAGCAGCCAAATAATCTAATCACCACCACTCACCAACACTCCCCTGCACTCTCCTATATTCACCTGCACTCGCCTGCACTCGCCTGCGTCGCAGCTGGGGTTTACGTGGTGGTGGTGTTCGCTGCCGCGTGTCCCAGGACGTGGAGATCCGCTTTGCCGATGGCGATCACAGCATCAGCTCCGTGACGAGCGGGGCGGGCCCCCACATCCCGTACAGGATGCGGAAGCTGGGGGGCACCCACATCGTGGAAGCCGCCAACGGGCTGCTGCTGCAGTGGGACGGGGGCAACAGCGTGCGCCTCATGGTCTCCTCCGACAGCCGGGTACGACGTCGCCTCTCTCGCCCATATATTGGACCATGACGCCGGTGCACGACGGCCTGCTCTGCTACGATACGTCACGGGTCCAGTAACATCCACGATGAAGCAGATGGTGCGTATTTTACGGATATCCCCGCGGCGCTCGTACGAACTCCCGCTTCTCGGCGCAGGGCCGGCTGTGCGGGCTGTGCGGAGACATGGACGGAGACTCCCTCAACGACTTCACGGTGCGAGGCCAGGTGGTGGTGGCGAGCCCCGTGGAGTTCGGGAACTCCTGGCAGGTCTCGTCCCTCGCGTGCGCGAGCACCACCGCCAACGCCGACCCGTGCTACATGAACCCGTACCGCAAGGCGTGGGCCGAGCGGGAGTGTTCGCGCATCATGGGCGACACGTTCAAGGGCTGCCACGCCAAGGTGCGACGTCTCGCCGCGGTCGCGCCCCACGGACTCTCGTGGCACTGCCCTGAACCCCCTGTCCCCAACGCCGCGACGACACCACGAGGTTTACCGCCTTGAATAGGGTAGCGGCTCAGCGGTACCCAGTAAGCACGCAACGTCGGCCCAACGTTGGCATGTGATTGTAAACGTTGATATAATGTTGGCCCAACATTGTGTGTTTACTGGGTAGAGTGAGTGGCTCGAACTATAAGTTAAAATCCTGGTTGGGGGGTTGACCCTGCCCATCATCCCTTCAGAGTCGAAAACATGAGTACCACTTTGTAGGGAAGTCAGCAGTTGTTGCCATATGGATAGACTCGCCTCTACCATCGGAATGAGCAATTTCCACCACTGGGAGATGAGCACCCTTGCCTCAATGCTCATTTGAGAAGGAAATCCCTTGATTGTTTCTTTCACAATGGCTTTTCCAGAAGGATTCTTTATTTTATTGTGAGGAGTTTGTTTCATTGTTTTGTTCTGGTCACATCAACACAGGGTAATGGAGCATTGTTGTATATGTTGGGTTAAGAAAATTTGTTATGTTGTATGCGTGCGTGGGTGAAATTATTATGTTGTACCTGTGTGTTATGAATATTCAGTGAAAATAATAATTATTAAATGAAATCTGGCCAAATGTGTAATTATCCGGAAATATGTTAATTTATGTAATTACGCACATTTTAATTATGCCAATTCGAGAGGTAATCGGATTAATTATGCGAGTGGGTGTAATTATGATAATACAAGTCGTTATGATAACCAGACCCCGCCTCGGTGACGAGGGTGGGTTATCGATCGGAATAAGGCAATTAATCGTATGCAGTTATGCAGGTGTGGTGTAAGTATGCAAGATTAACTTAGATTAACTCGGCATCGTTGTCTAGGTTCGTCTCATTCTCGCTTTAACATTCCCAGAGTTTTTATTCGTGGTTATATTTTTAGGTCCCCGGTTCACCCCGTTATCGCTTTAACATTTACTGAGTATGTATTAGTGTGTTTATTAAGGTCACCAAGTTCAAATCTCAACGCAGAAGCAGATCTTATGCATAGATTTCAGGAAAGAATCACACAACCACTTCTGTATTAATCAATTTATTACTAATTCAACCTTAACTATGATATAATATGCGAACTCTCAATCCCGGAACGTCAACACGGCATCAATACAGTATCATCAACGATTGTCTGATTTCACTTTGACAACTGCACATGGATCCCGCATAACGCGATGGTTGTTAGTGAGAGAGAGAGTCGTTAAAACATGCAAATACTATGCTAAGAAAACCTTAATGTTAATGAATGATTATACTCAATATTGTTCATAACGCGATGGTTGTTAGTGAGAGAGAGAGTCGTTGAAATATGCAAATACTATGCTAAGAAAACCTTAATGTTAATGAATGATTATACTCAATATTGTTCATAACGCGATGGTTGTTAGTGAGAGAGAGAGTCGTTGAAATATGCAAATACTATGCTAAGAAAACCTTAACGCTAATGAATGATTATACTCAATATTGTTCACGCAGTACCACACTCCTTATTGACCATACGCAACCCTTATCACGTTGTTAACACCTTGGGTCACGGGACAGTTGAATATTCTGTAGAGGATGCGAGTACGTGCGGCGATTATGACTGAAAGATACTTGAAAGATTATACGGCGATAAAAACACAATCAAAACAGTTATTATTCTTAAAGGCACCAATCTCAACGGATACATCGGCAGGTTATCTGACAACAGAACGGCTCGGAGTAAGGGCCTGCGACGGTGCTCCTTTTCCGAAGCTCGTTATCTTATACCAAGTTTACTAATTGGGGACCAGATCACCTGATAAGGATCCGGTGGGCCACCACTCCCCACGTGAGCGTGGCTCGGCGGAAGGAGGTGCCAAGAATCAGTTCGTATTGATGGATCTGTTGGGAATTTATGCGATTAAGAGTACAGCCCACTAAATATTGAAGATAAAAATTAAGAATACTCTTATAAACGACGGAGGGCCATCACTCGGTCTCGTTGTGATGCTTTCCAGCCACGGATGGCTTATGGGTTCGAGTGTTTTTGAGTGGTAAGAGTTGTCTTGAATAGTCAGTGTTCGGAGTCGATTCTTTAGGTCAAACAGACGCCTGGTGGTCGTGTGGTGAGGGGGCGGTGCGCGTCATACGTATCAGTCGATCCCCTGTCACCGTGGCGAACTGGTTCGGATGGCTGTTGATACGCTGTCGCAGTTCGGAACCCGGTCGGTAGGTGGCGCCCACAACTCGCTCGTAGCGTGCAGCTCTGGGTTGTCGTCGAACCGCGATGCTCACCACTCCGGTGGCAGCAGAGACCCCCGATTCGGCAGAGGTTGACGAGCTGAAGATGAGTCGAGCCGACCCGCTGGTCGCAGCTCGCTCCTGAGTCGACCCTCCCGGTCGAGCTCGCTCCTGGGTCGACCCGCTGGTCGCCCTCGCTCCTGAGTCGACCCTCTGGTCGCACTCCTGAGTGGACCCGCTGGTCGCACTCCTGAGTGGACCCACTCTGGTCGCACTCGTTCCTGAGTCGACCCTCCCGTCGCACTGGTTTCCAATGCTCAGGATCCTTTACTTTATGCCGAAAATTCCCCCTGGATCCCGCCCACAAGGCGGGACTTCTTTCGATTTTTGCTGTGTCAGGATCTGTCCGTAGGCAGGTGTGTCCATGTGTGTGTCCGTACGTCCGTATGTCCTTGTGTGCATTACTCACGGTATTCCGTTGTCCCACTCCCTCCATGAACCCACGAGCAAACAATCAGATGTTACAAATTGCCTCGAGGTCGTCTCTCTGTCTGGGTGCAATATTATCTCTTGTCTGGCCTTCTTCATGAACCCAAAACACAGACGTTACAAATGTCATAGGCGTCTTTGTTCGCACCACCTGGAGGGAGGGGCAACGCTCTCTCCGACCCGGCGCACAAAGAAATGGTTAAAAGTTTTAAGTTAACATTTGTCCCTTACTATTTCACAGTTATGATTCTGTATGTAACCTAAGGTCTGTCGTTTCCCATCGTGGTGCTTGACTCAAGTGGGGGTGTTTCCCCGAGCGTATACACACTCCTATCCCGCGCTGCGGGGATACAAAGACGGCCGGGATCTCCCTTTCTCTCCGACCCTGGGTTTAACATCGTTTTTTTTTTTATTATGTATTCATATTCGACCTGGTGGTGATTCATCCCGTTATCCTGGCTTTTCCATAAGTTTTACTTTGTCTTTTCATGCATATACTTATTACTATTAATTTATTTCCGATATCTTAGGTTAAGGGGTAAGTTTCTTGATCCTAGGAATTCGTATTCCTTGGTGCCTGCATGGTTATATAAGCGGAATATAGTTTACGGTGAATAGCGTTAACATTGATGTTATATGCGATATTATGTATTGTGATGTCTTTAACTTAACTTGTTTGTCAGAGCTTACTGACACGAAGTTGCATTCCATAGCCCCGCAGTCTTTGCCCCACCCTCTCTCTGCTCGCCGTTGTTGTTGCCGTCCAGCTGGCCGTTGTTCAAGGCCTCATTAATTTCCGTTACTCCTGAGGTGAGGGCGGTTGAACCTTGGAGTCAGTTCTGGTTTTTGTCTGCCGCCGTGCTCTTAATTTCCTTCCCTCTTCAACCTTATATATGATATATTCGCTCCTGTCTGGGTGCGATTCAATTTTGACTTAGGAAGGTTCTGATTGTCATATGCTTCGGGTCGAGTTGCATAGAAAGTATTAAAGTATGGAAATAACATTTCATTTGACTTAATGATGGTGATGGTTCAGTAGGCGTAACTTGTGGCCTGGTTTAATTGGAGTGGGTGTGAATATCAATAACTTTAGCCTACCCTGTTGTTAAATTCCGACTTTAACGTTACTTTAATAGCAATACAGAATAATTGAGCTTTTTGTCTTAACTAGGCGAATGCGAACTTCTGGTGACCCCCGCAGCCTTGTTATACAGCTGGGTCTTGCCCGCCTTGAGAGATATACAACACTCTTTTAAATCAGCTCCCTGTGGCCCTCCAACCTTCTGCTCTGGGAATGTTATTCTTAATTTCAGGTCCAAGGCCTTCTTGGGTTTATCTATGTTTCCTCAGCTGCAGGAGAACAAGGCGTGCTTCTACCTCCCTTTCTGTGTGCACGTGTTCTAATTAGCTCGGAATCCCTAACACACAATCAGTGATGATTCCTGGCTTTCTGTGGTTATGACTTAGACAAGGGCGCCTCTGCTTCCTTTCACTGCCTTTGCCTTGAAGCAAGGTTGCAATTCTGTCATCCTAGCCCTCCTCTCGTTCATTACTTAACAACACCTGGTGTTTTGCAGTTTGGTGCGCTTTGGTGTGTTTCACTCATTAAACAAAAACAAGTAAAAAGATAATATATAAAAATCATCAAATATTATTAATCTCAATTATGGAAGAAGGGTTAGGATACAACATTCCGCCCTTTTAAAAATGACCAGTGGTCAAATGGCCACGGGTTATTTTTAAAAAAAATGTATACCCTTCTTCCATCATGAACCATCGATTGTCCTCAAGTTTTGCTGCTATTCCTTACAACGCGCGCGTACGTGTCACAACTTAACAGGTTATATGTGACAAGAGAGAGAAAAAATATTCTAAAGGAAGGTAAGACGATAAGGGAGGGAAAAATTATTCTATTGACTACGTGTTATAGGAGATATCGTTAAAAGATAGTTTCTACGGTTACTCTTGGGTGGCATCATCAGGCCTTGGCTCTATCCCTGTTCCTGGGCTCGAATGGTAGGTGGCTTGTGCCTGCGATTAGTCTTTTAAGTTCGGCATTCATTTTGGCCACACGGTATGTTAAGGTTAGAATAGCCAGGACTAGTATGATCATCCCTGTTGCCCCGGTGATTCCCATCCCCATCTGTTGATTTCGCTGATATCCAGCCACTTCGGTCGCCCAAGTAAGATCTGTTATGTTAATCTCTGATTCGCTGAGGGATAATTTCA